CCCCGAGTAGAGCTTTGGGCACAGGACGTCGGGTTTCGGGCTGAGGGCTTTGGGTATGAGGTTTTGGTAACCCCAACACCCTTGATAAAGACCCTCTTACCGTCATCTGGCTCTTGTAGGGTCCTTTTTTGGGGCTGGCCAGCTATCATCCTCTTATACTAATCTTTGGCCACTTTGGTGGAACTACCTTCGACGCTTAATGCTGAGCCCCAGCAGGGCAGGAGCAATAAAGATGATGCCCTCCCCCACGACTATTGACTATTGCAGGATCCCTAACGAAGTCACCTACTTCCGCGTGCGGGCTGCAGGCAAGTTTGGAGAAGTGCAGTTAGAAATCATGGCCACTTTCAGGCCTCCGAACCCTCAAACTCCAAACCTCTCTACAGCCTTCAACGCCCAAAATCTGAAATCCTGAACCTTCTACGTAAACCTTAAAAACCGTGCCTGCTCCTCGAAGCTGGCTTCGCTGCCCACGCTCTGTGGGGTGCCTTTCCAAAAAGAGTGCATAATGTAGGCCCGTGATTAGTAAACCTAGGGTTTGGGGTTTAGGGTTTTGGGGTTTAAGGTACAGGGTTTAGGGTTTGGGGCCTTACTGTTAGGATCCCTATTCTCATCTCTGTTTCGAAGAGGGGGATTATGAATGACTTATCTACTTTACCTAGGGTACTAACCCCACCCAGTAACAGTCTATGTTAGGGTAATATTAAGGCCTACATATACAACTATAAAATACGTAATCATCATCCAACTGTTCCTAGGCAGTACCCAAAGCATACCCCACACAAAACAAGAACTCTCATGAACCTGCTGCAACCCCCATATACCCGCACCCCATCACCTAGTCCAGCACCTCAGGAAGCAGAGGCATGCAATGGTAGCGACCTGTACTTAGACTGTAAGGGCTTGAAGAATTACCAAACGTCCTTCTTAGGGCTATTTGAAGCATCCTAAACCAGCATTATACAGTAAACCTAGGATTACTACCTTTGACTGTCTTGGCGCCTCTCCCGCCTTTGTATACGCCCAATAACATCCTTCAGCCCCCGAAAAGGACTCAGAATTCTCACAAACCGGTGTCCGCGCTTTGACCCCATCTGAATCCCCGAAAAACCTACGCCCTGAAGCCGAAACCCCTGGTAGGCCCTAAACTTTAAGCCTAGGCCTTAGATAGACCCCCACCCTGTAATTGTGGTATAAGAACCTTAATCTAATCCATATTATCCCCGATAGTCATTTTTACTGGGAAGGGGGGTCCACCTAAATTAGACCCTAAGCCTCGGCCCTAGTCTTTGGGGTGGGGTTTTGGGTTTAGAGCTAGGGTAGCTCAAAACTGAGACCTGAACCCTAAAGAATGTCTCTATAAACCTTGTATAACACACATAACCCCATACGTAGTTCCTTTGAAGGAACCTATGCGGGCCATTTCATTCTCACTGTCTTGTCCACTTGATTCTGCATTATTTGGGTTAGAATCTCTCTGAACCCTATTTACCCCTATAAGACACTTCATAATCCCTTGTACTCCCTACAAAACCTGTATCACCCAAAAGGCAAGCAAATACAAAGCGCTCCGAACCTGGCTTCACCGACACGTCCTGCAATGCAGGGCCGCCGTTTGGGGGGGCTTCTCAAGCTCAGAGTCTCTTGGGACCCTGTGACGCTGGGCTTTGTAGTTTGTTTCGGGTTTTGGGTTGCGATAAAAACGTTCTCAGTGTTAGGGCTTTGAGATTGGGGGTCATCAGGACAAAGTAGGTCCCTTTAGAGCTTCGATTGGCTTCGTTTGCATCCCAATCCGAGTGTCATCAATTTCTGTGAGAGTAAGATTTCTCGGATGCCGAGCCCTCATACTTACTAATTCACCTGTCGGTCATCCTTGTCCAAAGAATTCAAGCATTTCAGGAGGCACTCGCAAGCCCTTCTTCATAAGATCCTTAACTCACCGGTTCTCAGTAGGAGTTAATTCCCTACAAACCCTTTGCCCAGTGTCCATGTCATGCTCCATGTTCTTTTCAACTTGACTCTCCACCCAAGTCCACCCACAGAAGGAGAATTTGGGGGCTTCCATAAACAGGGGGCCCCAATGTAGACCCCACTACAGACTATCCTTACTACAGGAAGTAAGGGTTTAGGGTTCCCACTTTGGGAAACTCCCGACTTGCTTCAGTTCAACTGTTGGGCGAATCACATGAAACACTGTAATGGCTCACCACCGTCCTTGTGACAACTGGCATGAGTGCCAACACCTGACACTGAAAGCCCTAAACACTGAAACCCTAAACCCTGAAACGTCAAAGCTGAAATTCCGACACCCTGAAACGGTAAGCCTTGAAAACCGAAACCCTGAACCCCTAAATCCTAATGCCCTATGTCCCCAAACCATGAACCCTAAATCCTAGAACCCTACCCTAACACCTAAACCCTTTAAACGCTAAATCCTTTAAACCCTAAACCCTTCCAACCCTAAATCCTAACTCCTGAACCCAGAAACCCTGAAGCCCTACATCCCGAAACCTGCAACCCTTAAACCCCTAAAACCTTATCCTCGGGGATGAATGGCGGAGGCAGCTCTTTAGCCTTCCAAGCAGTATCTTCTCAGTTGCTTCTCCAAAATTAGGGGGGGGGGGGAGCCAAAATTAGGTGTCCCCTTCAAGGGGTTTATAGGTGTTATAATAAGGATATACAGGGTTTAGGGTTTGGGACTTTCCCAAAAGTAGGGGTACCCTTTTGGGGGTCCATATAATACAGACTATGATATTTTGGGGGTCTATATTGGGGT